AACCTTGGAACTGCACAAATGACATATTATTAACAGTGTCCGCAACCATTTCAACGGTTCGCAAAATTTGCGACATCATTTGTGCATTGTTCATTTGATCCATGTGAACTTTTTGAAGAATTAAGTGAATCCCATTGGAAACCGAATTTAGTGTCTCCTTAATCGCTCGTATATCGTCAGAAATTCCGTTGCACCAACATGTTGAAGGTGGCGGATTATGCACTGGCATATCTGAAAGTTGACAATTTTATAAAATTTATTTTTTCATCAACTCATAGAATAATAGGAAATTCTTTGTACACATAGAGCGGTTCACACTGCCGATCACTACTGGATGTGTCATATTCGGACGACAGCTATGAGCCATATACGGTTGTTGCACGTGAGGACGGTTCGGTTGATCGAAGACGACATTCGGTGGAGTATCCTCAACGTTGCTAACTAGCGGAACACCTAAACATTTACCAAAAAATGGCCATCAAGAAATGTGCAAAGTTGCCATTCTTATCTATTATTATTATTATTATTATTATTACCTAGACTTTTCACACTTTGCAATACGTAAATAACCAGTTGCTATCTAATCATCACTAACGGTTAGTCTTGTACATTTTTCAACCTAATTCTTTCATTGTTCAATTAATTACACGTGTCTTGCATGTTTCAATTTGTCACACGTAATATTACATGTGCATATAAATAATAAAATTGAAAGTGAAAAGACAAACCAGTATTATTCGAGTTATTGTTGTTGATTCGGTTCTTTTTCGTTGCGTTAGAAGCACGTGGCTTGGAACGTACTATACGTGCATCATCTATAAAGAAGATATATGACATTTTAAAATTTCAGATGAAAGGTTTGGGATCATCTCCATTTCTTGTTTTTTTATGTGTACCATAGCTTATTTCAGTTAACAATATATAATAGATAAATGCTATATTTTTGTTAAAATATCAAAACTATTTTTGAAATAGTTGAAGCATTTCATTTTTATGAAAAGAAGTTAAATTAAATAATTTTTACCGTCCATAATGCGCACTACTTCACCATTGTCCACAGGAGCTGCGACATTTCCAGTCTGTTGTTTAGCTGACATTCCTAAAAATGCATTCGAATCATTTTCAAGTGATACAAAATACGGTACATAATAAATCCTTTTCTTTTCAAGCTAATAACTTCCTCCCATTTCACTGTAAAACAATCCGTAAGCATATATGAACAAAAATATAAGACCACCACCTATCCAACTTTCACTATTACCAAACAATAACACTTTCATCCCAATTATGAAATATAAATGTGAGTCGAAAAATTTGCATATTATAACGTCTTCCTTACTGTCTTCTATTGATGTTCTGAATTTGCTTCCTGGTTGGTTGCACAGTTAATGATTTAGAATTAATTTGCCAATAAGTGAGGAATATCACAGGGATGAAGAATATTGGTCGTTCAAAATCACGCATATTTGCTGGAAGAAGACAAGCTGACCTGCAACACTTCCTAAAAGTATCATCCTGAGGTGGCAAGTCTAAATTTTTGATTAATATAATTAATACATTTTCAGGTTGAACTTGGCAATGATAATATAATTATCAGTTTAAAATAGAGAAATAGTGTGTAATCAATAAACTTGTTAAACGATATTTAATTTTAGACTCAAAACGAGCAGATATAAAACGGATCTATCATATATATGTCCAAAAAGTAGTATTTGACTTACCTGTCTGTATGATTGTGCTATTGCTATCAAATAATATTTGCAGATTTCAAATTTCTTTGTATATTGAACATTTTTACAAAATTGCAGAATAATTTTAACCAAATCATATATTACAGCTCCTGAAATATTTTTTCTTTTCTTATTTCTCAGGAAAACAGTTGACAATAAAAATGCTACGCTAATTTTTAAATCATTTCATTGATTTTTTTACTTCCAGTTTACATTAGTAAAAATTATCACTGACCCACCTTAAGTGATCGATTGTTTCTATGTAATAATAAGTAGCAATGAAAATGGACGTAACATCACAAGAACAAAAAAAGAAAAAAAAAAAAAACATGAAATTTTACAACATGCGTGTTAATGATGAAAGCAATGATTTTATAAGTTGCAATAAAATTGATCCAATTGTAAGAATATGCTTGTGATGTAAAACTATTACTAAAAAATAAAGATTAAAAAATAAAACAAGCATTTAAATCTACTTTTATAAATCTTTATAACTAAAAACTGCTACGAATTCCAAATTACAAAGTGATTCAAGTATCGTAATTCTGTTACGGCTTCTTTTTTCAACGACCCTGCGTAAAATCTTTTATTCGATTATTTTGAATTGTTTTAGGCTTGTTGTTGTTTTGAGAAAGTGAACAGCTACATTGTTCGTTTTCGAAGTGATGAGAAGTAGTGAACTTATAATTAATTAATTATCTTATTTTTTAGATGATTGTATGACGTAATTCTACAATCAGCGATTATATGTGTGTACATGGATATTTCTGATTAAATATACTGCTTGAAAAGTAAAACAAAATGAAGGTGTAAGTATGGAAGAATGAGAGAAAAAATTTCCTGATGATTTCCTATTTTCTTGACTGATTTTCTGGATGAGTTCTTTTTTATAATTTGCCATATTATCTATAATTGTAAAATGTATGTTTTATTTTTCATTTCTGTCTTTTTTCTTTTTCTCTTTTTCCTCTTTTTTGCTTCTTCCATCTTTTAGGTTAAAATGTTCATTAATTTGCACGAGTTTACCTTATCATATTGCTTCACTCATCTTTCCATAACAGTTAATGTTGACATTCTCTTTAACATCCTCTCTCATCATTTTGACGTTTATCGATCACGTTAACGCTTGTGTGGTTACACAACGTAAAAACATATCCGTTGCTCGCGTTTCCCTTTTGGTATTGCAAATTGGTCTTTTTGTCTTACTATATTCTAACAATTTCTTTGTCTCATTTACAGCAAAAAACAATGGCACAAAAACCAATTAGATACAATGAACTGGAAGAATTTCCTGCTGATAAGGTAAGAAATTGTCGTGTTACAGATAGCTAATTCATGAAACAGAAATGAACCGATCCATTCATCTATCTGAGTGAATCATTCCCTTTTCGATGGCTAACAACTAACAAAATTTTATGATAATTATGTCAAAGAGCTTCTTCACATCTGTAATCAGTCGTGTTGCAGAAAAGTGAAGGAAGTGCTGTAAGTTGGAGCAGTTTCTAAATGATAAAAGTAATGCAGGTATACACAGGGTGGCGCAAGGATTGCCTTCCTGTGGTATCTTCACTGCTGATATAAAGCTTTTTCTTCTGTGACGGTAATTGAGCTGTTGAAAAGCTTAAAGCTAGCTATCTGTTACTTACCAGTAAGTGACAATAGGATAAGTAGAAATACAGATTTCTTTCGACTTACCTATGAAATCACCAATGAATTGTTGAAGTTGAAAAATTGTAATTGTAACTGTAGTGATATAGAGAAGTTTTTGTTGTAGAGTATAAAATGTAAATACTAAAGATTACTAGTGTTTTTTTTTTTATTGTTCATAGTTTCTAGTTGAAAGCTGAGTTCCATATTTCTTTTGAGTCCATACTTTTTTCTGTTACCCTCTTTCTTAAATGTGATATGATCTATACTAACATTTAAAGAATGATGTATTATGAGGAGTAATAATTGAGTTTGGTATGACATGTGACGTAATATAATCGAAGTCGAATTTGGCATTTACTAAACGTGTATCCAACGTACTACAAATTACATAAGGTAACTTTTAGTTTCTTGAGGACAAAATTTTTAATTATATGACAGATTTAATGCAGGAGAAGCAATGTATTCTAACAGGTTAAATATCATCATGTGAGGCTTATTTCATCGTGGCACTTTCTGTTGCATGTGTTTTGTGAATACATGGGATTTTATAAAATATACATTTCAGTACAATCTTTTAAAGGAAAGCGGAGATGGAGGATTCACAAAAAAAAATTAAATAAAAAGTTTTGAAAAATTAAAACTTTTAAAAAAAGAAGAGGCGGGCGGGAAGAAGGAATGGAGGAAGGAGGAGGTCGGGTGGACACTGCTGTCTCGCATGCGCAGGTGCTTTGTTTTGTTTTTTTTACTTTTCTCAGAATGTTTGTTTATGCAATGTTGATTTGTTAGGTGAATGTGAACGGAAGAATGGAAAGTTTTTTAAGTGACGCTAAAGATGTTGGAATAGAACTTTCCTATAGTTCCAGAATTTTAAGACAATATATATATATATATATATATATATATATAATAATAAGTGGGAATAATACAGCAATCATTGTTGTTTTTCAGATGGATCAGTCTGTGTGCAGAAAATTAGAGGTGGCGGAGATTGAATGAAACTTGTAGCAGTTTGATAGTACAAGAAAGTTCGTTTAGGTAGTTGACCATTTTCTCCTCTCATTTTTCATTTTTATATTTGGTTCCTTTATGCGGTGGAGAAGTAAAAAGCTTTTTTTTTTAATGACGTTAAGAATGTTGAATTGAGACTTGTTAAAGTTCTTAATCCTAAATTTCAAGATAATGTGTGGAATAATGCGAGGAATAATGTAACAACCATTGTTGTTTTTCAGATGGACCCGATGGTCCGATCGTACATGTTTGGGAAAGGAAGAGGGCTAGTTCCCAAAATAAAAAAAAAAATGAAAAAATCTTTTAAAAAATTTGAAAAAAAAATTAAAAGATTAAAAATTTGGAAAAAAATGAATAAAATTAAAAAAACCAAAATTTAAAAAAAATAAAACAAACAATTTAAATAAAAATTTTTGAAAAGTGAGAAATTTTTTAAAGGAAGGCAATTAAAAAAAAATTAATTTAAAAAGTAAAAAATAAGTTTGAGAGGATAAAAAAATTTGAAAAAAAAAATAAAAATCCTAAAAGAAAAAAAAAAAATAAGGAGATGAATGGGACGAGGGAACAGGTGGGTGGAGAAAGGGAAGTCGAGTTGCTGTCTCACACGGACATATGGTTTGTTTTTTTCTTTTCATCTTTTGTTTCCATTCAGGCAAATGTCGATGAAAAGTTCTTAAAATAACGGTAGAGATGTTGGAGTAGAACTTGCTATAGTTTTTTGAATTTTAGACAATATATATATACATAGAATAATAAGAGGGAATAATATAGCAAGCATTGTTCTTTTTCAAATGGATTCATATGTACTATGACGTGGAGGGCGATTAGGAATATTTTAAGGTTTTGCTAGTCTTGTAAGCTTCCACTTATTTTAAGGAGGTAAAAACGACATATGAATGTTCGCAAATCTCATCTATAAATTTTGTGAGTGTAATCAATTTGCATTTAATTTAATTTCAGACAGTCGAGGACGATAACCATTGCGGTTCTTATTGTTTGCTTAGTGCTGGACAAAAAAAGATTTGTCGGCGAGACCAAATAAGGTAAGTAGCTTTAAAATGGTTTTAAAACGCCTTGACTCACTCGTAAACAAGTGAGATTAACCAGTCATAAAACGAAGCGGCACGTTGCAATCCAAGCATGAGTCAAAATTCAACATCGATTGACAGGTTGTGTGTAATTACAGGAACACTTCCGGCCAGCAGAACAAGGATCACAGGTAGTTATCCTGGATATGGAGTTTATCAGCAAAAGATGAGGAGATGTGGAAGGATTAGAAGGAGTATATTAACAGAAGAATTTTAATATGGACAGATTTTATTCAGCGCTTTTTGAACAGATTCGATTCGACAATTCGATATTCAAGAACACGAGAGGCAGCTCCTCTGAGGATAAATAGTGGCATGAAAGTATGACAATTTAATGGGTGTTCGACAGATTGTTGGTATAATTTAATATTTACTGTGTAGTATTCCTTCTTTTTACGATATTGTTCAAGACCAATAAAGCTATTGTCGATGTTATAGAGTTACAACAACATTATTAAAATGCTCACTGATAGATTTGATGCCATGAGCGGGGAATGTCATCTATGATACCAGTATGTTGCTATGCCTGTGAAGGGGAAAATTCTAAAGTGGTGCTGAAGCTTTCTCACCATCAGATAAGGGTAGTTTTCTAGAGCGACTACAAAGGGATTTGGCAGCACCTTAAGTAGATGCATACATAGTAATTGAAGTTGAAAAGTGCGTTATCATTTATAGCTTTAATATTTTTAGACGATCATATGCTCAGCAGATTTAATTTTTTTGGACGGTCATATACTTAACAGTTTATAATTCCAACTGGTTGCAGAAATACATTGCGTCTTATTTCATGAAATATTCAAATTTGGATTCTCCATACTGATGATCTATCTCATATTTTATTTTTATTAATACTTTTTTTCTAAACACAAATTCTGCATAAACCCAGTCTATTTCATCAAAAACATCAGTTCCTGCAGTAATGTAAATTCCGTTAAAATAACAAAAAAGGAAAGAAAATTAAAAACGATGGAAGTTGTCGTGCGGCATCTGCTGTATGCAATAAAAGCGTGGATAGCATGTATGTCCAAGATGCACAGTCAGAGTAATGGTATAGCTCATGATTCTTAGCTATGCTTTCTAAATGTTGCTTTTTCGCAAAAATTATCTTTCCAAAAACTGTGCCAGCTGCGACCAAACGGGTAAATGCAGTTGTTGGACTCCGTGCTTTCGGTCGGTGCTCGAGAGTCTGTGAAAATTCGTTAGGTCCCGTAGACTGGTATGTCATCATTTTGAGTAAGCTGTTTGCAACTTCTACGAATTTAAGTTTTGTGCAAATTGAAATAGAAGCTAGACGAATAGAAGCTATGAAGTTAGCCTAACAATTTTCTTATGAGTGGATTTTTTTTTTTTTTTTTTTTTTCAGAATTGTCGGCATTACTTTTCTGGATAAAAGAGTGATAAAAGGATGAAAAAGCAAGATATAAAAATGATAAAAAAATACAAGAGCAAAATATAAGAAAGCAAAGCTGAATTCCGACGAGGGGTGATTTAGTTATTGTAAAAATGAATGTATCTTACAATTGTTATTCTCATGTTCTAATCAAAAAAAAAAAGTAAATATGAACCGGGTTTTTTGACGAGAATGGATTTTTAAAAATTCAACCTCTCATCTTTCTAGTTTGGGTTTCATTTTGATTAATTTGTCATTTATGTTCAAGGTTTCTAGTGTTTTCAAATATTTGATCGCTATCCTTTTCCTTTTTGAACTTTATTAGTATTTCATAGATGCTTCATTTTGTTTCTCTTGTTTGTGGGATTTTTTTGACTACGATTTTCTGCATTGTTTTTGGAATCTGGCTACATTATGCTTATTAGGTGATTATCAGCTATTTTAAAATTTATTAGTTTGTTAAGGCTATGCAATAAATTATTTTAAAAATATATTATTATATTGAGTTTAAGTATCAAGTAGTTAGGTAGCGAATTTCATATTGCATAATTAAAGGAATATTTCATTATTGTACTGGATCAGCATCAATTAAATCCGAATAATTAGTGACACAGTTTAATGAAGTCATGTTTTTATCCCATCTACAAACATGTATAAAACTTATAATTTCCTTTGACAGTTTCTTACTGACGAAAACTTGAAATGCTGACAGCAGTTTTAGTTCAATGATTTCATTCAAAATGTTCACTATGAAAGACAGAAGCGTGATTTGAATTCTGCGAAAAAAAGAATATGGATTTATACAAGATCGAGTATTCCTCCATGAGAGTGTTTTTCCTCTTTTAAATTTTGAACACTTGAGAATATTTGATTTTTGCTAATCAGCTTACCTCTCTGTGTGTACTAAAAAATGTTGCTTCAAAACAGGAAGGAAAAAATTTTTGTATTATTATTTGAAAAAGTTTTACTTGCCGTTTTTTTTTTTACTTTTTTGGGGATCATATCTTTTCTTTTTAGTAACATCATTCGCAGCATGTTTTTTTTATTTCGTTTATTGTCATCATATGGAGTTTTTTTCTGGTTTTACTGGTTGCACATTTGTCGTTATTTTTATCCAGTCAGGTTCTTTTGTAGCTTTATTAATTATATGCTTCCCTTGTCAGCTTCAGTTATTACATAATTTTTCGTAGTTATATTCTAAATACTTTTTCGCATGCTTTACGTTGATTTTGCTTTTCATGTCTGACATGCAGAAAAGGAAGTGATTGATATGCGGTATACCAGTTTGTCTGATTTTATGCTCCCATATATGTTAAGCTGCCTTTTATAATATTAATTTTTTTTTCACAGTAAATGCTGATTGATAATAAATTGGTTCTAGCTATCTCTTTGCGCCTAAATATATCTAAATAATCGCTAGTTTGAAATTAATTTGAACATTTAGTGTGGTAATTATCTTACTGAAATATTAAATTTTGTGTGTCTTCACTTTTTTGAAAGTGAAAAAATTTTAGCGCATTTTAATTTTTAGGTTGTTGTAATTCTAATAATTTTAGTAAGACTTTCTTATGAACATATCGGTAAACAGGACGCCGTTTCAGAAAAGCAAGTAAAACATTATAGCAAGGTGTTGTGATTTATTAAGAACTGGTAGTTGGGTTGAAAACACGATTAATTTATTTGGGAAACGCAAGTCGTCAAAGCGGAAATTTTCAAATGAAGAATTGCTGAATAAAGAAATAATTGTGTGCGGGATTTAATGAGACTTTATCATAATTAAATGACATATTTTCTGCATAGCGCTTTCTTCTTTTCAAAAATCCAGATACCCTAGTGGATTTGAGCATTAATTTATAGTGTTATGATTATTTATGAAATGAGTGGTATATCAGAAATAGAGATCTGTTAGCAAGAAATTAATGGTAACATATTGTATTTCTTAAGATATTTTATTAAAGTATTATTTTCGCGCATCCAATCACGTTTTATTTATTTATTTTTAATTTTTATATGAGTTAAGTGAAGTGGGCCTTGCCACTGCTGTTACTGTTATGTGTGATATTTACGATTTGATTCCTTCAAAAATTAAATTCATCATTGGTTGCATTTTCTAACTTTGTAAGTGACAGTTTTGTGATGAATTATGGCAATACAAATAAAATGATTTTTGGCTGAAACTGCGTATATATATATAAAGTTTTTTTTTTTTCTGCTAACAAAAATGCACCATGAAATTAAGGAAATACCAATCACTGACACTCATTATCATGAATATTTTGCATAGAAAAATATACAACGTAAAAACAGAAATAGCTGACACTCATTATTTGGCTTCCTTGAAACGGTGGCGATTTTCTGAATCACCGTAATCAGTGCAAACAATAATTGATGAAGTTGATGATTTCCTCAAAACTTCGAAAGTAAAAATCCATTTTTTGCAAAAGTGCACAAAATGCATACTTGATCGAATGTACTTAATAAATGCTTTAGAACAAATAAGAAATTTAACCCATAATTTTTTTTCCTTTTTTTTTTTTGAGCACCATTGTTTAAAAAATTTCACTATAAGTGACACATTTCAAAGGACTGAAGTATGTATGAAATAAATACCAATAATATAATGTGTTTATGATTACATCTGATAACTAAACAATAAGGAATTAGGATATTTTGTTCGCAGTGTATTATTTGATCAAAAATATTTTCCATCTCTTCATCAGTGAATTTGCGTCGAATGAATTTATTGAATTTATTTGAATTATATAGTTATGGAAAGCGATTTAATATGTTTTACCCAAAATTTACTTTCACAAGCTTATGAGAGCGTATTTTAATTCACGAGAATATCTGAGAAATACTTGAATGTTTCAGCTCATTAAAGTTTAACAAATTTGATAAATAAATATATCCAGTTTCAGGAGTAAACAATGTACAAGTTTCTAAAGAAATAAATAAAACGCAAGAATTGTCGTGCTAGATACTTTGAAGTACTGGAGACTCAATATTTGGCGTGTCTATCCTGTGCAGTGCAAAAGACTTTTAATAAACCAATAGAAGAGCCATCCCAAAACAAAAAACTTAAACCGATATGGATAAGTTAATAAATATGCAAAGCTAACAAATAATAAAAGAAAGAGTCGAATTAGGCAGTTAGTTTGTAAAAATGGATTTTATCTTTATACTTGATTTTAAATCTAGTTTTTGGAGAAAAAATGACGCAGTAATTTTCTCTAACATTTAAACTATTTAGAATGACACTGAAACTACTATCTAGAATCTGCAATTGAAAGAAGCTCGATCTTTAATTTTATGTTTTCTAATCAATAAATTCATGAAATGTGATGAATGATTGGTGGCTGAAGATTATAATTTTAAACAATTAAAGAAGACGGTGGAGAAAAGGTTGGGAAGAAAATGAATCGATAAATCATATAAATAAAGTATTCCATTTTATTACCTACCAGCCGGTTGACTTGTTGTTACAGTTTTGAAAATTATTTAGAATAATATGATTTAAATATAAAAATGATCTGCTATGAAATCTCCGGAAAATATAGCTCTTGCAACAAAATGCTTTCTCGAAATGGATCTGAACTCATTATGTGTGCACTAATGTAAAGAAGAAATAATGAAAACAAGGATATTGAATCTGCTATTTTGGAAACAGTAAAAGTAATGTTGTGAAAAACAAAATGTCTCATACCTTCATTAATTTTTGTTTGTCACTGAACAAGAAAATCTGATATGAAAGTGATAAAATCACTAAACAAATTAAATGTGTCCAACACACACATTACTATCACATCAAAGATATCACAATATTATGCGTCAAGAAAACTCAAACAGTAAAACTGATACTTAAAATATAAATTATAATATTGATAAAAAACAAAACAGAAATTCTATGAAGGAACTGCAGATGTCGCAGAGGTCAATA